ATTCTGTATAGTCGTATGCTTAACAAGGTCCTCTAATGAAGGCCTGGAAGTTGTAGAGAAAGTCACATGTGAAGTGTTTTATGGTGGCGACCTAGGTTGTTATTGTGTGGGTGGATTTGTATACCAAAGGTTTGAATGGTATTGATTGTTGCTCTGAGGATTGCAAATGTTTGTTGCAATGCTTGAGGAAAATTGGTAATTACACCTTCTTGCAATGTAAGACATGTATCTATTGGGTGTTCATGGAAAGTACAAATACAACATAGCCTTGTTGGTTCTGTTTTTCTACTGCCAATTGTCTCATCAATGAAGTAAGTTCATCAATTCTAGTCTCTAAAGCCTTGTTGAAAGAAGAATCTTGAATCTCATTCACCCTTTTTGTCAGGACCACGAAATTGTTTCTAGTTGTGAATTGTTGGGATTTGAGTGTCATGTTCCCAATTAAGGTCTTCGTTGCAATTGGGGTCTTATCAACAAGTGCTCATCCACTACTTTCATAAAATTATTGGATTAGCAATTGTTCATAAATCTGGTAGTGAAAATAACTCGACAATAACTACTTCAATCTCTCTCAGCATTCAGCCAATGATTTCATATCACACTGTTTAATACCACATATTTCTTTTCTGGTCGTATCAACTCTTGAAGCAGGGAAAAATATTTATAGGAAGACTTTCTTCAAATTATTCCAGCATGTAGCAGAATTTGGCACAAAATAATAAAACCAATCTTTTCCACCACCTTGTATTGAGAATGGAAAGACTCTTAGCTTGACATGATCTTAGGTAATTCCTTGAGGCTTTAATGGTGTAAAACACACAACCTGTAATTCTTTTAGATGCTTATGCGGGTCATCACTTGCAAGACCACTAAACCATAGCAACAAGTGTATTAAACCAAATTTCAATTTAAATTGTGCAACAACTTCAGGATACTTAATACAAAGTGCATTATAATTCACATTCGGTGCAATAAGTTCTCTTAAAGTTCTTTGTTCAACCATATTATAATAATCAATTTTAAAATCAGAATCAAACAAATTATGGAAAACATAGAATCAGAATCACTACTAGTCATACATCATGAGTCAACAATGCAACAAATATGAAAATGCCAAAAATGTCCCTAATTAGAAAAACAAATGAAAAATGATTAAAATAAAATAAATCTAGAAATATCACATAAAATTAAATAAAATCAAAATAAGACTCCAAAACAAATTCGTTTTTTTTTTTTGAAAAATATGAAAATGGAAAATAAATAAATAAAAATAGAAAAACAAAGAATTTGAGGTTTTTAGGGTGGTGTTCCTTATTTTGTCCAAAAATACGAGACTCTTGAACCCTGATTTTTTACTCTAATATGGCACGTAAAAATTTTTATTTAGACTTGAGTTTTTAGAAAACTAGGTTTTTGACACTAGATCGCGAATTGCCTAAAAATAGCAAGAAGGGTAATCGCAACACCTATGACTCTAATATTAGTTAAAATCGATAAGAGTCCTCGGAAATGGCACCAATTTGATCTGTTGTCACACAGGAGTCAAAAACGAGTTTAATGAAGGTAGCAAACAGAAGCGACACTCGAGTCATATCGCAAGGGATTTTGAGTATTTTACCCAATCGACTTAAACGAATGGGGTTTATGATTTCAGAAACGAGGATCGCGAGTAAATAAGTTGAAAACAAACTTGATGAACAATTTAATCTACTGGTTCATTTTCTGGCTTATCATTAATTAACATAATTTCTAAGCCCTAAGAAAATTATATTCCTTTTTCGATTACAACATCAATCAAACAAGCGTAATTGACATTATATGATTTACATCCCTAGTTGTCGAATTAAGCAAACAGTTAAAGATTGTGAGAATTAACGAAATAGCTACGCTAAAACACGATTAGGATTAAGGAACATACATCAATCGAAATAAATAAATCTGCTTTATAAATTATTTAATTAAGCACGTAAATATCAAAGACAAGAATTGAAAGGAAAATAAATTAAATTTAAAAATATAAAAATCTCAAAGTATGATGGAATCTGAATTTAGTAAATCAACGGTAGGTAGTTAAGTTCACCATAGAATTCTAGTTGTCTAATGTAATCTCATGAACGTTGAATGCCCTAACAGTATCATTGCATTTTAGTTTAAATATTATAAGAGAAATCAAGCCCTAATAACAATCGACCCAAAAAACATAAAATTCAGCCCAAAATTAATTATTTTACTAAGGGTGTGTTTGGTTCGGGGTAGATGGAGGGGAGGGGAGGGGAGGGGAGGGGAAATTTTTAATTAAATATGTTTGGTTCAAATTTTAGGAGGGGAGGGGAGGGGAGGGGAGGGGAGGGGAGCAAAATCCCTCCAAAACACACTTTTTGGTTCCCTCCGAATTGGAGGGATTTGGAGGGGAGGGGAGGGAATATTAGTTTTGATATTTAAAAATTATTATATTTACTAAAATATCCTCAGTTTAATTTTATTATTTCAAAACTATTTGTTATCTTTTATGTTACTGTTTTTTCTCGATTGTTTTCATCAATTATTATAATTGTTCTTCACCTTCAAATTATTTTATAATTTTTATAATTAATATAAATCATAATCATTATTTTTTTTTATAAAAAAACTTATGTTTCGTTATATTCATTTTTTTTTCAATTTTGTTATATACTCTATCATATTTTCTTTTATATCAAATTGTAAACCATATCATTTTATTTATTTTTGTTTATTCATTTTATTAAATATTTTGAACCATTAATATTTAGTAATAAGTTATTTTATATATTTGTTTTGTTATATGATTCATCACAATTTAAACGATGTTATTGGCATATAGTTTAATTTATGTTGGAAAGTTATAGGTCGAATAGATTGTACTCAATTTTTTAACTTTAGTGACAAATAAATATTTTTTTAATCACTCAATATTAGAAATTTTATTACCAACAAAAATACGCACGAATTTTTCACATTTTAATATCATATGACTTATATAAGATCATAAGGATAAAAATGTAAATTATTAATAAAACCCCTCCCCTCCCCTTCTGAACCAAACACATTTTTAATTAAAATCCCTCCCCTCCCCTCCCCTCCTCTCTTTTGAACCAAACACTTATTTGATTAAAAAATTCCTTCACCTCCCCTCCCCTCCCCTCCCCTTCATTAAAATCCCTCTCCTCTCCTCCCCTCCCCCTCATTTGAACCAAACAGACCCTAAGTCTGGCACAAAAACACAATATTTGAATCTTCTGCACTCTGAATTGGTTTAGGTATTCAACACAAAATTTGTAGCTTATCCTCTCAGCTTTTCAACACATATTTAAACGCGTCAAACGACATATTGTAACTCAAGTTATGATGTGCACAATAGAAAGGTATCAAATTATTGTTTATTCATAAAGTAAGTACCATAATTAAAATAAAAGCATAAATAAACTAAACTTAGGAAACACAATAAACATAATAAAATAAAAGCAACGAATCATTAAAATCACTTAGCACAAAGTAAAATATAGTGTATTAAAATACATTGATCATTGGAATCCTATAAATGTTGGATATTTGATCTTTAATAGCATTGTGAACCTCATTAACCCATTTATTAAGGTACTAGGGCATTTGAGCATCATCACTATTTTGTGCTTCAGTCATGGGATACCTCGTGAAATTAGAGATGTTGAGATGAAATCCAAAGAACCAATTAACAAATGATATTGAGATAAAATGTTAAAAGAGATTCCTCTGTCAAACCCCACCTCTAGTGAAAAAGAAAAATCAACAAAACCAACCTATGGAACATGACCACCACCCTCACCAGCAAACTAACCTCGCATATGCCTTAGGTCTCATGGCTTGGGCAGATGACTTATCTTCTAAATTTTTAACTAACCTGTCCATTATGGATCCCACCCTTCGAGAAAGAAATTATGGAAGAGAAGATGGATTACATAGTCTTCAAACAAATTGTAAGATCACTAAGATATTTTTGCAATAGAAGATCAAACATTTGTTTTGTTATAGGATTGGTGAGTAAGTTTATGGATGATCTAAGGAGATCTTACACGAATACAATTAGAATAATCTTGAGATGTTTGAAAGGTACAATGAATTATAGAATCTTATTCCCAACTTCTACAACGAATTCTAAAAAATGGTTAATAGGCTACTCAGAAGCAAACTAGTGTGGTGACAAAGTCATGGGAAAAGCACCATTGGCTACTACTTTCAGCTCCTTGACTCATCAATTTATTGATGTTAAAGAAAATAAACGTATTGTAGCACTTTCATCATGTGAAGCATAATACATAGATTATATGTTGCATGTCAAATCATTGGGTATAATCAGTTTTGAAGGAGCTGAAGATTGAGGTCAAGAAGTCAACTAAGCTATATTTCATTTTTTAGGGGAATAGATTAGTCAAGAAAGATTATAGGTTGCACATTATCATATTGTTGCACAGGTTGCAAAAGTGTTAACCAAAAGGTTGAAAAGTGACACGTTTTTGAATTTGTGGGATGCATTTGGCCTACTTCAAATCAAATGAATAATATATAATTGAACTCAAGAAACATGTTGTTAATTAAGCCAATCATAGGATAATTAAAAGTTAGTTAATTTATTTATTTTAAAAAAATTTATTATTCAACCTCCTGACAGACTAATTCAAAAGAACTAGTTAGTTAATTTTTTGTTAGGAATTATAACTAAATTTATAATTGTTTACTAACGATGGATGTTAGTGAATCCAAAACCTTCCCGAAATTTATAATCTGCAATCATAGTTGAGAGTTTCAGCTGCTCTACCCAATTCCATTTTCCATTATACATCGCTTTCAAAAAATAAACTCCTTACTTATTTCGAAAACAAAAAAACAAAAAACTTACTCAGTTTCAATTATAGACAATAAATAGTACATCACATGAGTACAACATTACAAAATTAAACCCCCAAAGTTAACACAATCATCTTAACTAACGAATTAAAAAGTCACTAAAAACTTGCTCTCTTCAGAGAAGTTACAGTAATAGAAGACCCTAAAGCAGAATTTCCAACCTGAATCTCAAACGAATCATACCTAAGAAAAATTTCCACAACCAAAAGCCTAGAAACCAACGTAACAAAATCCTTCCCAGCACATTGCTTATCACCCAAACCCGGTGACTGCGTTTCCGGTCCATTAGACCAAACCACATGCTTCAACAATTTCTCTCCATCCCCAACGAACCTATCCGCAACAAACTCTTCAGCCCTATCAAAAACCTTACGATCCTTCGTAGCAAAAGGTTGATAACCTAACAACAATTCACCTTTCTTCACCAAAAATCCATTCTCGTGATTCTCAACTATCATATCCTTTTTCGCTCTTCCGAATTGCAACGGAACCGGTGGATCAATCCGAAACGCTTCGTAAACTACTGATTTCATCAACGGCATATTCTCCATCGCCGCCATCGTAATCTCCCCGCCGGCAGATCTAACCGCTTCCCGAATCTCCTTCGCTAACTTCATATGTAAACTCACACCGCTTCTTCCGATCCACTTCATCACGTTTGGGAAAAAGAGCTTAATTCCACCGAATGAATTAAAGCACGTTGCGAATAATAGATTATGACAAGCTTCATCTCGCGAAACACCCAAACGCTCCGCTTCGTCAAGCGCGAATCCCGATGAAGAATAGAAAAAATCATAAAGTCTTTGATAATCTTTCTTAACGAGACGAGAAGGTAAGCGAAAATTGTGAATTATGGAATCTTCTAAAAGTTTGGGTAAACCGAGTTTTAAAACCGGGCCTAGCTGAAATAAAACCCATTTCTGAACCATTTTTGGACCGTCTGAACCGAGTTCGGTGTCAACCGGGTTTGAACCGTATAAAGACCGAGCTAAGAAATTAAACGCGGCTTGATCATTGGCGTCGGCGAAACTGGCTTTACCAGTTTTAGCAAGTTCGTTTTCTAACGAAGTGAAAAGCTCTTTGTAACACGAACGAAACTCGGGGATGACGTGGCGGCTTCGAGATTTAAGGAGGAAGAACATGAGTTGTTTGAGTTTGTTGTGTTTAGGTTCGGAGGGGTCGAGGTATGATAAAACTCTGTAACCGCCGGTGAGTTCTGTGGAAGGTGTGTAGGTTCCGGTGAATACATCGGTTTTGTCGATTTTTGAAGTGTCGAAGAGGATAGGAAAGCTTTTAGCGTCGAGTAGAACGACGACGTTAGGGTTCTGAGCGATGAGAGGACCGGGTGGGACGTTTGTTCGGAAGATGGTTGAGTTGTATTTTTGGATTCTGGATTTGAAATATTCGTCGCGGCCTTGGTTGTAGAAATAGTCAAGACGATCTTTGTAGGGAGTGATGAAGGGGATGCCGTAGTCGCCGGGGATTTTACGGATCGGGAGTTTGGTGGGTGGTTGTGGTGGTGTGACGGAGAGGGAAGGTAGTTTTTCGGAAATGGAGGATCTGATGGGTGGGAGGAAGGTGGAGGAACGGTGTGATGAGGTGGAGGGTTTTGATTGGTGTTGGAGGAAAAGAGAGGGAGATGAAAGAGTAGAAGAAGCCATGCTTGGTGGGTAGTTGGTGAGTGAATGGGTTATGGAGTGTTATTTATAGAATATTATATTGAATGAATTGTTTGAAGTTTTGACCATTCACGAGCTAGTGTGTCTTATTTTGACCTGACAAAAAAATATGGAAAAAAAGAAGTGAAATTTTGTGCGTTTATTTTCTTGTGTTTGTGGAGTTGTTCCTTATGTTCTGCTAGAACACACTGTCACAAGGTGGATGTTTTCTCGTTTTAGGCACACAAGTAGTAAGATTTAAAAAGTTATCGATGTACCAATAAATAAGTTGGTTTTTTTTTCTTTCAGTTTTGATGGATTGGAGATTTTTATTTTTATTACTTCGTCTATGTCTATATATGAAAAAAAAAATTGCATTCAATAGAAAAAAAATCAAGAGTAAATTTCAAGTTGAAAGGCACTCTGAAGATAAACTTTGGGTCCAACTGGAAATAGACAATTTTATCCTTTGTCACATCAACTATTGTCTGATTTTATTTGACAGTTGTTCATACAACATGTCGCGTCACATGAAAGTAGTTTCAATTGGTTATGATTTCTCTCAATGACATAGGTGTTTGAGTGTTAACTTTACAAGTTAGTTTCCTCTCCGTCGCATCGGAAGTATAGATCCATTGCATCAAAACACAACTTCGTTATTTCACCTTTCATTTCTAGTTCCTATTTGGGCAGTTGCGTTGTATGTAGAAATCAACTTCTGATTTTCGCTAATTTCCATGAAAAACAAGCGTCTCTCCCCAAAGATTCAAATTTTCTTTCCTTGAAGTTTTGACGATCTTCTTCCTTGAAGTTTCAACCTCCCCTTAAATATATGTCATCATATTCATCAAACATGGTGACATTCAAACTCATTTGATCCGCCGTTCAACGACAAGTTATTGCTAGAATCGTTGAATCTACCATAGTTTCATCTCTTCCTCTGGTAAAAGACGATTCAATTATAGTGGCATCTCCATTTGAACCTACAAAAAAAATCTTCTCCTCTAAGATTTGGTCAATGAACATTCCATGCTCTTTCACTTTTTAGATTTACACAACAACCTCATTAGGGCAAACCATCGCACTGACCTCCTCTTCTACCTATTATACTTGGACAAGAAATGCTCATAAACTTTCAGTTCTTACACAAAAACCTATGAGTACAGAGAGCAACATACTTTCTAAACAACGAATACAACATGGTGCACTAGCAGTACTCATGATTCCTAGCTCAAAGAATACTCAATATTAAAGACAGTGTTTACCACCTTTCACCACATGACAATAGCGTACGGGAGACAGCCTTCCGGGACAATCAATTTGTTGCATCAGTGTCGGTTCCTATTGGCACTGCCACAACATAGAGAGAAGTCTCAAGGTCACCAACTCGCAACCGGTACTAAGGACGTAGAACTCCCCCGTTCAATTTTGAAGAAGGAAGCGAAAAACATATTCCTCCCAAGATTCGTCGTCCTTATCACTTACCTATATGTCATCCCCGAAAAAAAGATATATAGGACGTCGGCGCTCCAACTCCGAAGCAAATGAAGAATTCATTTTCCATTTGTATCTTTGACATTAGGATCTTGAGTTCCTTGGACAAGCCTTCAATGGTGCAGATTTATGACGGAACTAGAGATCCAAACGAACATGTTGAACATGTAAACAACATGATAGATTATTATTGCATCCAATGGATGGTAAAGTGAAAGCTCTTTGCACTGACCATGATCGAGACTGCAATGATGTGGTTCGAAACCCTTACGGATGGGAGCATACACTTGTGAAAGGAACTATGTGACACATTCACTACCCAGTTTACTGCCCTAAAGTGGAAACACATGATCATGTTTGTACTCAACGGGGTCACTTAGAGAAAGAAAGAAACCCTACGCAATTATAATGATTGTTTCATAAAAGTTGTAGTAATAGTGCGGCGCATGAATGACGGGCTAAAATGTGGGAGATGAAAGAGTAGAGTCATGCTTGGTGGGTAGTTGGTAAGTCATTGGGCTATGGTGTGTTATTTATAGAATATTATATTAAATGAATTGTATAAAGTTGTGACCATTCACAAGCTACTGTGTCTTATTTTGACCTGGCAAATAAATGGATAAAAAAGAAGTGAAATTTTGTTTATTTATTTTTTTGTGTTTATGGAGTTGTTCCTTATGGTCTGCCAGGACACACTATCACACGGGTGGATGTTCTCTCGTCTTAGACCAACAAGTAGTAAAATTTAATAAAGTTTTTTTTTACCAAAAATAAGTTGGATTTGTAGAGAAAATCCTACATTTGAATATTTATTTTACGACATTTGTGAATAATAGGATTATATAAATTACTAATTTAAGATATATCAAACTAATTAAATAAAGAGAAGAGAAAGTATGATAATATCTCTAAAATTTTTCAAAGAAAATATTGTATCTTTTCATGAATCAAATGAGGCATTTATACTACTAGAATTACATTTATCACACAAATGCAATAATTTATAGACTTAATATCCTTTTTGATCCCCTTATGTTAACCTCGGGGTTCATTTTGGTCCCTTAACATAAAAAAAAAGTTCATATTGACCCCTTAAATCTTTAAAACGTACCATGTTCGTCCATTTTGTCTAACTAGCGACATAAAAACTCAAAAAATTAGTCACTAAATTCATCGCTTATTAGATAAAAAGGACTAACATGATACACTTTGAAGAGTTAAGGACTAATATGGACATTTTTTAAGTCCAGAGACCAAAATAAACCCCTGGGTTAACATACAGAACTAAAAATGATATTAAACCTAATTTATATTAGCATTTTAAGTTAACATTGTAAATATAACATTAATATTTTAAGTTGACATTATGATAGATAATTCACATTATTATTTTAAGTTGACATTTTGGATAGATATTTCAAAATAATAGTAAGACATGTATGTGTTTAAGATAATTATTACTTTCTAATTTCTTATAACACTCCCCCTTTGAAATATTTGTCGTGGTGCTCCATCAAAATCTTGTCAAGGAGAATCTTAAGCAAACGTAAGTTGCCCTGTTAAAAATCTTAATAGGAAAAACTCATTGTGATAAAAACCTTAATAAAGGAAAAAAGAGTATAACAATATTTTGTTTATGCATGTAAGGAACGGGTTGTTCAACAATAATTCCAATTTACATGCAATAATTATTAAATGATTTAGATGTAAACTCAGCGGTATTGTCAAGTATAATTTTCTTTATAGTATAATCAGGGAACTGAGCCCTTGATTTAATTGTTTGTACAGAAAATTTTACAAATATCACGACTTGACAATAAACATGCATATGACCATCTACTAGATGCATCAATTAATTCTATAAAACACCTGAACGATCATGACGGAGGATGGATAGGTCTACATATATCGCCTTGATTTCTTTCAAGAAATTCAGATGATTCTGTTTGAATATTGCCTGGTGAATATTTTTTTATTAGTTTACTAAGAGAATAAGCTTCACGTGGTATATTTTATTTTGTAAGTTTTAAACCTTTCAATTGATGACCATGAGTACTTTCAACTATGTTACGCATCATTGTTGAACTAGGGTGACCTAAACGATCATGCCATAAATTCATATTTTTTGGATCTTCTTTTACTACTAAATTACATTCAATGTATATATGTATAATGTAATCCAGAAGGTAATTTTGGTAGTTTTTCTAAAGTTTTCTTCTTTCACAAAACATTAGCAATAATATATATATATATATATATATATATATATATATATATATATATATATATATATATATATATATATATATATATATATATATATATATATATATATATATATATATATATATATATATATATATATATATATATATATATAAATGTATTTTATATCACCTTCAATTCCAGTTTCAGTATCATATCCTTAACGTTATATATCATTAAAACTCAACAAATATCTCTTTGATTTTGGAGAGTATAAAGCATTATTAATGACAAACTTTGTCCCGTTTAGTAACATAAACATAGCATTACCCGTTTCTTCAATCAATCTGCAGTACTTAAGATTGTATTTATTACACCTTTAGTAGGATTTATTTCATTAAAAATTTTATAACTTTTGAGGATAGTGTGGGTAGTTTCAATGTCCCGATTCATATGTCTTTGACTTGTCCCATGTTTAACCTTCATGATTTCTCGAGGGGTCTGCTTGGATATATTTAGCCTTACCTTGACGAATCTTATTAGTTTTGTCATATTTAGAAGACATATAATTATTCACATCAACTCGTCCACGACATCGACCACGAAAGTGGTTTCGACCGTGATATACTTCTCGACTATGAGCATCAAATCCAGCATGACCACCACGCCTTTAAGATGATTATAGACATCGTGCCCTTGATTAAATATTATAAAATTTATTTCAAGATATGTTATTGTCCCGTGGGATGTAACTGGTGGGTTTTTTAGGAGCTTAGTATTTTATTCTGCCACTAGAAGAGCTACAACTAAATTAGAGTACTCAGTAAATCCCCTTATTCTATATTGTGAATATTGTCATCACCATCACCATCACCTGAACTTTGGCACCCATTAGATACCGAATAATTGTCCTCTTGATCATCATTCGATTGAACATCAGATGTATCACCATCACTACAACAAACGTTGTTGGAATCGTAATCATCATAGTTTTCCATAGTAAACCTGAATAAACACAATTGTTAACACAACAAAACTCAACATCAGTCACTCGCGTAATAGTTTGCGAGACTTTCCACTATACCCTTCTTTTTTGCTATACCCTCTGATAAACTCATAAGCTAGTAAGACAAGGTCGTGAATCTTTTGTAAAGTCACAAAAGCAGTTTCACTCCTACTAATAATGCTACTCAACACCTCGCTAGTTCTTGTAAGCATTACTTTAGATATGATTTTGTACACTAAGGTGGAACAAGAGATTATCCTATACCCTTTAATGTAAAATTAACACAATTTTTAACACA